AGGATCACTGAAATTGGAAGCAATGACAGATGGATCTAACAATGCTTTCACTCTGCCTGCAAGTCGCCCTGGGAATTTGGATAAACTTTTGTGCATAAAGTTAGAATTTGTAGACAGAAAGCATAAACTTTCTGGTGAGCTATCAATTATAGCTTTATATTTAGCCACATTAGGTCATTAATATGTACTGCATATTCAAGATTAATAAGGTAAATTTAGCTTTTTTTACAGGGAGCAACATTTTCTTTGACCTTTGTTTAATCACTATTCACAATGTTTTGCCCGGTTTAAGAAACACAAAAGAGCTCAGTATGTATATTGAGACTTTCACAGGAAAGTTTTGCATCAGATACGACGACTACTAAAGCAGAATTATATGGGGGAAAAAAATTCTTTTGGGTTTAAAATAAATTTTATCTTTGCTTGGATCTGTCTTGATCTGCTGCTCCTGCTGCTGCAACGGCTATCACTGGCTCAAGGAAACATCTCCCATAACCCTGGAATTTTACAGTGAATGCTTTTTTTTCATTCGGCAAGTCAAGGTACATCTGTTAACGCTGCATACTTTGCAAGCAGCCAGGCAACTGTGTGTGCACAAGTGTGCACGTGCATGAGTAAACTTTAAACTTTGGATAGAAGCATAAACACTGCTAAAGATCGATGCCAATTTGACACCCTACAATAACCAGCTGTGGGTTTTCTAAAAGGTAGATTTTGATCCGAAAAAAACAATTTTGGAAAAATAAATGTATTCGTTAAATGATAAAATATACCGTATAGAGGTGAAAATCATCTCATCAAGAATACGACAAATATTTAAGCACTGAAAGAATGCAGCAACAAAGACACAAACGATAAAAAAAAAAACACTGGCTCCAAAATGAACACCAGACTGATGAGTGTACACATTTACTCAGCGCTACATGCCAATCTGTGCTCCTATGAAAGCTCATTTCTCTAAGCTCTGGTGATCTGCGGGACCCTGCTAAACTGCATTCTCAGTACTCTGACCCCAAGGTCAAAGGTCAAAAATAAAGCCATGACCCAGAAGACCGGGAGACAACAGAGAAGCTCCTGATCAGGCCAATAGTGCTACTGCCCTAATGCAAATGTTTGGAAGCCCTCTGCACAGCTTTAGCTGCTGTAAACTCATTCGCTACAGTACACGTCAGGGAGCAGTGTTGCAATAGAGAACATGTGATTTAAACACAAACATATTATTATTTATTCATATGCTTCTTAAGATTTTACAATTAATTTCTTTAGAGGGATGACGCCATTGTCTGACAAGGCAAAAACTTTTGTGCCAGCTGTAATACTGTATATCTAGTAAGTGACCTTCCGTAATGGCTATGTCTACGTATGCTGACAACGCCATCATTGTGACTTCTATTCGAAAAATAAATGTGCACCATGATGTAACTTTACTAGTCAGGTAATCAACAAATTACAATGCCAACAGTCATCTAATCAATGTTTCTTTCTTTAAGAGCGGCTGAGGTTTTGACAGTATTTTCCGATTTGCATAAATCAGTCAGCCTCTATTTACCGGGGCTAAAATGTGCAGCGACAGCATCCATCAACACTCAATGGAATTATAGACTCTGCTTTGAAGAAGCTTTTAACTTAATCATATTAAATTTTGAAAATGTGCTGTAAATTCACCTGATAACTGGGATGATGCAAGAAATAATCTGGACACCTGGCCACAGCCATGTTTCAGTGTTTCTTTGTCTTTGTGCACAGTTGTTCGGCTAGTATCGGTTTCAGAAGAGGATGGACAGAGAACAACCTGGAAAGAAGAAAGAGAAGATGACATTCAGTGAAGAGCTCATAAACAAACAGACAATAGGTGCAGTTCAATTTTTGACCATTGGACTGATGATGTTGATTCTTGTTCTACACCTTTTTTTATGTCATTCTGTTCGTTCAACAGTACAGCTTGTTAAAATCTCAAGCAGACCAGGAATCAGAAACATTGGTTTAAGTTTACATCAACACTGTCTGACGTGAATCAGGATAAATGTTAAATTGCAGCACAGCAGTGTCAAACATGGCCGCTGCTCATCGACATCTAAACTGTACAACACTTAACGGTAGGCAGATGAAAGAGGAAAAGAACACACAGATGAAAGTCCATTGTATTATTGTGTTGGAAATGAGGAATGAGGGTTGATTCTGGCCTGAGCCAATGAAAAGAACTGGGAGAAAGGGATTTTATCTGGGACATTGCGAACCAAGTGATGAGAAAAAAAAAGCTAAATGTAATGGCTAAAGGATGAAGTCAGGGGTCTGGGACGACAGATTTAGTTCTTCCTGACCCACATCGAACCACAGTTAACAACATTAACAAGCAACAGGAACGGAACTTACATTAAAACATCCAACACGTCTGTCACAGCAGCTACCGACCAGGGGACCGACAAGTTCTTCTTCAGCTCCGTGGAACCACCTCCCTCCGCCTGTCATTCGTGGGTCAAAATAACCACAAATTCAACAACGCTGACTTGAGTCTATTTGAACACCTTAAAGTGGGTATCCTATTAACCTCTTGGCACTGCTACCACTGAACAAACACCTGTAAACACTGACCCAAAAATACCACGCAGACACCTCTCCAGGTCTTAAGTTAGACCCTAGGGTATATTTGGAGCCAGGCAGCTCAGATTCACAACTGTGACAGTCTTTTGAGCAGCAGTTCATGACCTCCTTCCGTTTTAAAAATATGACCTGCCAATTTATAGACAACTAAACTTATCTCCTGTTTGCATAAGCGGTTGTGAGCAGGCTGCCCTCACAGAGCGCACGTGTGTGCAAATCTGTACGTGAATGCACTCCTGCATGTGCATGTACACCAGGTCTGTGTGTATATGTTTACATATGGCACACATATGTAACTGAAAGAGGGCGTGTAAAGTTCTATTTCTGGAGCGTTCAGTCCCTGACAAGCTATCTGTGGACACAGAGTCAACTGAGTTAAAGGTTAACTTTCACTCTGCTAACTGAAAACATGGTTAGGGTTGAAATTTTACACAAAATGGTCATAAAGAAAGGGTATTGAATTCAAAAGTTGACAACTGACTTGTGACAACGTTGACGATGTTGAAGAAAAAACGTAATGACTGCAGTTTAGTCATTTGACATAATTATATGACAAGCACACACATTTGTCCATCTTCAACAGGAGAATTTGAAGTTATTTAATTCAGATCAAACATCTGGCATGTTATGAAGGAAGTTGGTTCACTCTCATGAATTAGTGCCCCATGTGGTCATTGTATAGGTCTACATTTAGGACTTTTTAAAACCAATTTTTAAAATCAAATAAAAACAATAATACTACCTATAACTGAAAAGTGTTTCAAATAAAAAGAACAATAAATAAAAATAAAAAGTAGAGCGCTGTAATATTTACACCTCACAGGGTCACACTGTTGAGATTTGATAACATTCTCAACAATTTTTTTAAACTGAGATTCACGAACAGTGTAAAAGATCTGCTCACTTTCCAGTCAGCTGGCTGTGTCCTCAATGTAACATCTTTATCATTTCCCACAGATCTGTGCGCCATTATAACCCTCCCAATTAGTTAATTACACATTTGTTGAAATCCAACCCAAAGTACAATCTGTATGGGTACAGGCATTTCTTTAAGATTGTAAAAACAAAATGGTATAAAGATAACAATATATGGTAAAGAATGAGGCGCTAACTAGCTTGCTAACTTACAACGCTGAGGCTGCTTTCTCAGCGTTGTTAGCCCCCAAGGTGAATGTTGCGTGACAGACCATGGGAAACAGCATCTATGTTCCTTGTTGAATGGAGTTTGAAAGTGTTCACACATGTCACAGTGACTCTAGGTGACTGTCGTAGTGACCAGTCAAACATGCACCTGTGTGAATTGTGGCCTGACACAATCAAAGCCATACCAGTGCGGGGATTAGACCACTCAAAGCCCTTTGATTCCATTTTTTCCACATGAACAGTGTACTGAAACCTAAATCTCAGACCTTGACAGTGCAATTATTCCGGCGATGTCACCGCACTACAAAAGAGGACTTTGGTCCGCAGCGCATGCACCAGATGGTGAAGTGCCTTCATCTGGATTAATTATTGTGATTTTTTTGAGGGAGAGTATGGAGAGTACGTCAGCGCAATCTTAAAAATCACATTCATCAAATCCTAAACACTCACAGTGTACAAGGCATTTACCATATTAAAATCAATTATTTACTATTATATATAATTTAAATCATTTATTGAGTTGCAGGGCAAACATCGCTGCCAGAAATTTTCCAAAAAAGTTGAACTTTAAAAGTTTCTGCTTGTAAATGTCTACTTTTGGAGTTGTATACTCATGTCAGTCTACAGGTTTATGTGCTCATATGTGATTACATTTCAAGGGTCCAGCTTTAACATCCCCAGGTGATAAGCCCTGCAGAGAAGCCAAAGGTCAGGTGCAGGATCACCAGAAACCTGTGCTATTTAAAGTAAAGCCTAATTGAAAGGGTAGAAACATTTCTCTGAACACTTCTCTTTTTCACAGTGGTGGATCAGTGACCGTCCAGATCCGTAGACCAAAGACGGACAAGTGAGACAACTTTGGAGGCTAACGCGCGTTTGCAAATACTCCAACGAATATAACGTACATGTTGTTGATATGATATATTCTCAAATGTTAATATTCCTATTTGTCAACTTTTATTGAAATTTTAAATATAGTTTACACCCATTTAGGCCACAACTTCCGCTTATTTTACAGTCAGTATCAGGTTAGTTCGTTTTCCTTTTTCATTTAGCCTTTCCAAGAAGTCCAATAAAAATATCTTTGGTAGGAAATGGAAATATTAAACTTTTCACCTCACACCCTGTATGTAGGCCAAACCTGAAATAAATGAGTGTCTTGTGGAGCTGAGCTGGCAAACACGTCTTGTAAACTAAGGAGTC